CCCCCCTCCTGTCTCATTCCTATTTGTCCAACAATATCTTGTTTGACGGTAATTTGATGTGGAGCTTTTAAATTCATGTGCGTCATTGACATTACTTTCACAAATACCTCTCTACCATTGTTCCAGCTCCAATAACACGTTGCTCTGCCCCTTCTGAGTAACTGTATGAATAAAGAGATTGCTTGATGCACCAATATGTAAGTACTCACTTAATTGAAAAATTGTGACAAAACATTACACTAACCAGTAGACAAGAAGAAGTAGTGAAAGTGAAGAGAGAATATATATAAAGAGAACTTTAATAATGTTTAATAATGATATACACATAAATAGATACCCCAGACCCCAAAATAGATAAACACACTCATGCATAAAGGACACACAAACAAGTACAATTGCAAACATAATGAGTTGGTGTTCAAAACTCTTTTTTGAGATTCAAGAAGAAAAGGGGCAGCATCTGCACATTCGAAGCATTGTCACGTCAGTTTAGATGTTTGGAACCTGAATGACATTTTCTCAAAATTGTATTCAAATGATCAGGGAAAGTGTGTAAAACGAGATGCAGCATCACAACTGTCTCACTGTTTTTTTGGTTTTGTTTTGTTGTTGTTGTTTTTGTTTTTTTTACTTTTCGAAGAGAAAAAAAGCATGTCATTTAAATACTGGTTCTTTTTCTGTTCTAGCTTGAGTTCGACCCTCTGTAATCTTATGCTTATTTTTAGAGCACATTAATGGACGTCAATTTCATGGTTGGTATTTAAAAGGTTTTTGTCAGATGCTTGAAATCTGTCACCCAAGCTTTTAATATTTCCTTGACAGCCAGTCCATTCATTCATCGCTTGTCCACCCTCACCCTATTAAAAATTAAGATTAGAACTACACCGTTTAAATGAGTGTGAAACAAGAAAAAAACTCATTAAAATTTAATATTAAACAGAAATAAGACGAATTCGAAAAAAATTGCAAACACTTTTCATATAATATATATGACCTCTATAAAATTTTCCTTCTCTTATAACCGTGTAATTAAATGTTTTGGAAAATGTGAATATTCATAAGACTCCAAGCTTTCTTAACCACTTAAATTTCACTTTTTGTGAACGTTCTTGCTCTGAGTGCAGCTGATTGTTCCCATGTACATTCTTAACATTTTTATTTCTTTTGCTCTGTTCAGTAAAATGCACTAAGAGTCCGGCCATTACTTCTTTTATAAAATGAAGACAAAGATCGCTTGTTGTCCATGTCCCAATGTGACACGTCTGTGTCCTGTGCAAGCCCATTGCCGTTATCACTGATATCCTCCTCATTGTCATTCCTTTTGTAAAAGCTGCTGACACCCTGGTAAGGCGACCTCTTGTAGAAAGAGCTGAGAGACTGTTGGGGGAAACCTCTTTTGTAGAAGCTGCTTACAGTGTTGAAGTATGGCGAGCGCTTATAGAAGCTGCTGACATCACTGAAGGGAGATCTTTTATAGAAGCTGCTTACGTCATCATACGGAGATCTTTTGTAGAAACTGCTTACGTCATCATACGGAGATCTTTTGTAGAAACTGCTTACGTCATCATACGGAGATCTTTTGTAGAAGCTGCTTACGTCATCATACGGAGATCTTTTGTAGAAGCTGCTGACGTCATCATACGGAGATCTTTTGTAGAAGCTGCTGACGTCATCATACGGAGATCTTTTATAGAAACTGCTGACGTCATTGTTGGGAGACCTTTTATAGAAACTGCTCAAACTATTGGGCGTACGTTTATAAAACCGGCTTTCTTGAGATCCAGGTAGCATTCTCTTGTAGAAACTGCTGTAAGACTCCGCACCCCGTTTGTAGAAATTGCTCACTCCGTTGAAAGGAGATCTCTTATAAAAGCTGCTCATTTCGCCAAATGGGGATCTTTTGTAGAAACTGCTGACTCCTTGGCCCGATGCACGTTTATAAAAAGAGCTGACGCCTTGTAGACCTCGCTTGTAGAAGCTGCTCAACGCATCAGTGCTTCTCCTTTGAATCGTCGCTTCATGGTCGTCGGTCTTGATACTTCTTTTGCTACGGTGATAGGAATCCTCTGAGGACATCATGGGAGCGTGATTAGAATCTATGGCTGTGTCTTCAGAATCATCATCCCTCTTGTAGAAGCTGGATAACCCTCTCGCTCGTTTGTAAAAGCTGGACATGCCACCTGACGTGTGAGGTCGCTTGTAGAAGGAGCTAAGGCCTGATCGTTTGTAAAACGAAGACAAAGCCGAGCCAGGAACTCTTTTGTAGAAAGCACTCAAGCCAGAGTCAAGTCCACGCTTTTTGTAGAACGAGCTTAGTGAGCTCATGCCGCGTTTGTAAAAGCTGAACGGGCCGCTTTTTTTGTAAAAAGAACTCAACCCAGATCCAAAGTCTCTCTTTTCCTGACCATCCAAACTATTATCTAATAGAGCAGAGCTGCTATCCGGGTTACCAAATTCTCGCTTGTAGAACGCGCTGACAGACTGAGGAAATCTCTTGTAAAACGAGCTCTGACGAGATAATCCTCTCTTATAAAACGAGCTGACGCCGTTTAAACCTCGCTTATAAAAAGCGCTCATGCCCCCTCGTTTGTCTGGCTCATCCCCATCTTCCTCCTCCGCTGTTTCGTCATCTCTCTTATAGAACGAGCTCAGTGATGCAACTCCTAATCCTCTCTTGTAGAAAGAACTCAGATCTCGCGCAAAGCGGCTAGTTGACGTTACGTCTTGGTCCTCTTCTTCAGAAGTGACGTCAGACGACACACTTCGTTTGTAGAAAGAGTGCAGCTTTCGGTCGGGACGCGCAAACACGGTCCCCAATACCGGGCTTCTCTTATAAAACGCGCTGATGCTGGGGTAACGTTTGTAGGAAGAGAAGAAGCCCTTTTGGAGACCATGGTTTCTTTTGTAAAACGCGGACATGCCACGTCCTCTCTTTTTCATCTCGCCTGTCGCTTGAGAATCCTCTGAAAGAAACACACACAAAAAAGGAAGAAAATCAACAACCAAAATTAACAAATCTTGAACGCTCTCCCGAGAGCGGGATATCTTAACCCTTCCGTAAACGTACACCGAACACATGCCCCAGTATAAACGGCTCTAAATTGAGGAGTTTTCCGCCACCAGAGGAGGTGTACGCTCCTGTAAACTTTTGAGGCCAGGACTCAGGGGCTTAAAAGATTTGATGAATTAAACAAAACAAAACGAAAAAAAAAGCAAACAGCAACAACAACAGCAACAACAACAGCAACAACAACAGCAACAACAACAACGGCAACTACAACAACAACTATATTACATTCTTAGTAAAAAGAAAACTGCAACAAGAATATACAAAGCTGCACAAAGAATATACAACGGGAATCCGTCGAATTCTTGAACGTATTAATCAGAAGTATAATTTAATTCATCGGCTAGATAAAGTCATGGAAAGAACATAGAGGTGTAAATGATAATAAATGTTCTCCACTATTCAGATACTTTAGGGGCTCGGTTTCTTCCACCTTGCTTGTTGAGACCAATTTGGTCATAGATCTGGTTGGATTCAGCATTTCAGCTAACTGGCAGAGATACTTTACTGTCAAATCATTACTTAGTAACTGAACTGACTTCTTTTGTTTGCAATGGCCCCCGAGACCAACCAACATAAATAATAATAAAAA